TAACAGAGTGCACGATAACGCTTAACGCCGCAGATGTAACGGATTAAATAATAGATTTGTTCATAGGTCAAGCGCGAATAAAATATTTATCGATATTCCTAGTTAGGATTACGATGTGGATCAATTAATCTACAATCGTACGATAATAATCGCGAGATTAATAAAACGCATTCCGTCTCCGTTCTCGACGATACCAGAGAGAGCAGGAATGAATATAAATCGTCGCGCTTGGATGAGACGGCCGGACACCGACTTACGACTCGGGTCCTAAACGAATATGACGCGAGTAAAGAACGACGGGCGTTAAATCATCTCCTCTGAACGCGGCTTAGCCGTGCGCAAACTGCACAGAAAGACAGAGAGAGACGCGAAGAACCGGGGGCAGATGGTGGTATATCCTCGCACAGTTCACATATCCTGGCTAGTGGGGGGTTGACGGTGAAATTTCAGAGAAACGTTAGCGTCAGAGAGCCGAGCCACGTGCTGCTGGTCTGTTCGATACGTCGATATTATGCAGGTATGCGACTGTGCAACGGATGCGCGAGGTAGCCGGAGAATTCGTTGCTGCGGAGCTCGATAGTCGTCATTCGGTGGACCGAAAGCGCCGAATATATATATATATATATATATATATATATATATATATATATATGTATATATGTATGTATGCGCGTTGCCCGTATATATACGTATACGGAAGGAGAGAGACGAAGAAGGCAAGAGCTTCTACACGGAGTGGAGTGTGAAAATGCATTTGCATGTGTGTGATTCGCATGTTGCGCGCGCGCGCGCGTAATGCTTTGAATATAATGCTGTAGATAATGAGGATGTATTCGACGCTTGCGACTTGCCTCTTTCTCTCTCTCACGCGCGCGCGCGCTTCGTTAATTCTCTCTAATTGCAAAAATTGCATTTGGCCGCAATGCTCCAAAGTGAATTCGTACAATGGGATGTGTTTCAAAAATTTGACGTTCCACCACGCAGAAAAAAATGTTTAATCCGGCGTGCAAAAAAATTCCCAAGCCGGAGAAAACTCGCGTGATACTAGAACATCGCGAGATTAAGGAATGTTTAAGCGCACGCATTTATGCAGACTACTTCGTTAATAATACGTTTGATAAGAGCTCTAATGCACGAGCGACCGAACGTGTATTCATTAAAATCATGACAAAGATCTTTTCGCAGTCTGACATTTCGAAGCTTAACCGGATAATTGATAGCTTTGGCAGTCTTTCGATTAAATATCAAAATGTGCTTTTATATTGATATATCTCGGTTGTTTGATGTGTATCGGTTTGAAGGAACGAGACGGGAATTAAAGAGGCGGAAATACGTAATAAAGAGCGCGGGGAGGGAGCTATCACGAACGAATAGGCATGCAGACATGACGAACAGTGTGAAAATTTCACGTACGCACGTACTGGCTGGCTGCTTCGAATATACCAGCGTGGATAATGAGGATGCATTCGACCGGCACGTATACGCCATTTACCCCAACTGTATCCGCCGCATTGCGAGAGTCGGGAGATATACGCGGCAAATGTTAAAAATGCGGCGGCGGTCAGCCAGAGAGTCCTGCTTTAATATACGCGAACAAATACGAGAGAGAGAGAGAGAGAGAGCGCAAGGAAGAAAGTAATCGAGATTGGTATTGACATGATCGATGTAATAAAAAATTGTACAAATTTAAATCAAATGAATTTCGAGAAATTTAATTATATAAAATAAAATTGACGAAATTGATTCGAAAATTATTCAGGGGAAGCACGTGCAGCGATTCACCGAAAAAATTGTTTTCTCATCTTAAATGCCACTTATTTTTATGTCTTCTATTAAAATAAGCGTCAGAATAAGGATCATTTTTATTTCAGAGGAAAATTCTTTAAATAGATATTCTTATTACACATATTCTTAACATCCAAGAGTCTATACCTAATAGGATGTTTTTTGTCAATGCATTATTTGAAGTTATTAATTGTGATAACAAAAATAACCCTTTTGTCTTTTACTAATTTAACAAAAATAATCTTACAAATAGACATTTAGTATTTATTACAAATGGACATTTAGTATTTATTACATAGATGTTTAAACGTTAACATGTAATTGAATATTTGTTAACACGTAATTTAATATTTTTTTAATGTATTGACATAGTTAAGTACACATTTTTTATATTATATTATTTTTAATATTAATTGATAAACACAAATTTATTATAAGTTTCAATAATTTCAATAATTCTGTTTTATTATATTCATTTAAAAAAAAAAAAAAAAGATTAATAAGGATATATTTTTAATTTAAGAGGATATTTCAAAAAGCATCACAAGAAAGAAGAAAATATCTTTATTCATTAAGGATATATCTATTAAGAAGATTGATAAAGTATAAATTTTAAGGAAACAATTTTTCCGGTAATTTGTTTGTAAGAAAATATGAAGAGAGGAGAGAGAATAGATACTCTGCAGCTTCTTAGAAATATCTCACGCGTCCTAGGATCAGCAATGTTAGAAATATCCTCTTGTCGGCGTTGACCATCGTGGGAAACGTATAAGACTCGAAGAGGAAAACTCGAGACATATAATGATGGGCGGAAGTGGAAATAAAACGTGACGATACCGAGTGTAACACCGTGGTTAACGAGAGTTTATTACGGAGACATCGAAATAATTATCTTTTCCTATCGCACGCACGACTGCCTGTTAAAGCTTCGCTGACAAATAAACTGACAAATGCAACGGTAATAAACAATAAAATTTCTCGGCGCGTATTAGCTGTAACGAAGAAGGCTTTCAAAGTATATTGCTTGATATTAGTTATACTAATGTTTGCTATATTATTCGGGTGCGTTGATATAAGTGGTTGCTAGAAAATACTTTCTACCTGTATTACCTCGTATTTTTATTATTAATATAGCTTGAGTGCCTCTGTCATTCTCATAGCTTGAATTATTAAAAATGATCGCAAAAAGCTATCCGTGGTACACATCTAATACATATATATTTATATATATATATATATGTATACATATAGTAGTATATTGTAGAATATACTGTGTTATTTTTCCTGTATAACGCATACTCCATATATCATATTTTTCTACTACATGAGTTTCCAAGTAGTTTATAATTCTTATAAATAAATACCGCGATCTCTCTCGAATAGTTCCTTACATATATACATATACTTTCAGTTGTATGCGTTAACGCAAATTTAATGCTTTTCAAATTATCACAGGCATAACACAGGAATATTAGTCGACAAAAAAAATTCAATATCATCCCCAATAATTTGCATTTGATTATTACTGGCGTGTTTCCCGAGTTTCTTAAATATTCATTAAATTTCTGGCTACTTCGATTTTACTTTATGCGATATTGGCGTCGATCGTAAAAATCTAACGTGCTTTAGAAAGACGAATAAAAAGCTGTATTATACATTCAATAAAAACTTGCATCGCCCATATTGCATGAGGCAGATAAACACAATCGCTATGTCGCGTCTCGTAAAAAGCGGCTCCGTCTTTCAGCGAAACTACCGGCACGATCGCAAGTAGTATCGACCTAAAATTGACGCGTCCTTAGCTAAATGTGGATGCTCAAGAGAGATTATATTTCCGCTAATGAATACCAATTACACGATTTGTTTTTTAGAGATACAATTCGTCTTTTTGCCGTACTATTTCGTGAGAGATTGTCCAGATCGATTAGCAAGTTGTCGTAAATCACCTATTTTCATTGAATTGTATCTTATCGGAAACTTCCGCAAGTCAATTATCAGATACAGTGAGCAATTGCCACGATCGTAATACAAAAAAGAAGAGGGAAGGTTGCGCGGGAAATTCTACACTGAAAAAATAGTATTTTCATCTTAAATATATTCCACTTACATTTATACGTTCCACTAAAATAAGGCGCCAAAAAGATTTTTTAATTTAAGAGAAAAATTCTCTAAAGAGATATTCTTATTAGATATTTTTAACTTGCAAAAATATATACTTAATGAGATTTTATCAATATATTATTTGAAATTATTATTCGTGATAAAAAAACCAGTCTTACAAATAGACATGTTATTTATTAGATATATATTTAAATGTTACACATATAGTTAAATATCTTTTAATATATTGACATAGTTACATACATATTTTTGCTTATTATTTTTAATATTATTATATTATTTTTAATATTAATTGAAACTTATAAATTTATTATAAATTTAAATAATTAATTTTATTAATTTATTTTGAATTTATTATTAATGTATTATATTTATTTATTGCGGAACTGAAGTTGCAAAAATCTTTTAGAATTTTCTTGAACGTATAATTCGTGTATGTAAAATTGGTGTCTGACTTCATGGAAACTCATAGATAATTAAGAGTCTAAAATAAAGATAATCAGATATATATATATTTATAAATATTGAGATGAGACAGTCGATTTTCAAGAAATATATTTATTCCGAAGCTATATCTTTTGGAACGAATTACTTTTAACTAATTATTAATATCTTAATTTTGAGTTTTAACTAATTATAATTATTACTATACATGACTTATTAATAACAAGTCATATATAGTACCGCGCGTACTATAGAATGAAGTTGCCGCTGTTTGTAGAGTAGCGCGAATAGCTTCAGTCATTACCGAAACGTCGCGAGTACCAGGTAGTTCGAGCTGCGTTTCGCTGTGATTAATTAGTAAGCATAATCATCCTACTCTTCGTATTGCAATATTTATCAATTGTATATCTTACTTCAATGTCCACATATAATTGTAACTGTTTGAAACGCATCTTTCGCGAGAAATTCTATACAAAATCTGGCAACAATCAACATAATCCAATCTAACCTAATCTGTTGTCGCGCGCGCGAATGTGTTCAGACCCGTGGATACATCTATCGTTAATTCTAGCTTACATATTTATATCATGTATGTTGTGCGAAATAATGTAAGATTGCTTTAATATATGTATGTATTTTCTTTGTTACAGGTAGCATCGCTGATGAGCCGCGTTGAGAGATTCTCGAATGCTGAACGGACGTTGCTTCGTGCGACTATAGTTTTCGCATTATTTTTTCTCATTGTGTCGTGTTGGGAGTGCCGTGTAAAAGTTTTCGCGCGTCGGGAGTGCCGTGTAAAGTGTCGGGCGATTGTAATTATTCGTGACCAAGAGAGGAGGAGGAGACATCGGGCGACAGCGGGGCAACTCTAAGGTATGTATCTAAATATAATTTATAATATATTTAATTTATTAATACTGATAAAATTACTTTAGCTCTATGGAATTTATTTTATATTATTTTTATGCATATAAGATATTTTCGAAACTTTATTTTAAAATCCTTTCTTAAAATATTTAAGCTAAAATATTTATAATGATTATATATGCACATATACAATAGTGTACATACATAATTTGAATATTTTATTTTCAGATCAATGTGCTGTGTTCTACAACTCCGCTATTCCACGTGTCGGTGAGTGAGAAATTGTTTATAACATTATTGCAGCGGTAATAGGTGTATAAAGCTAGCATCTCATTTCGTGGAAATTCATAAATAATTAAGAGTGGCTTTATTTGCGATAGTTCTAAAGTTCTTAATAGTAGTATAATTCAAACAATATAGTTTAAATAAAAATAGTTCTGGCCATTAAAGTCAACAAAAAAATTTTGGAACAAACTAAAAAGCCAACTTCACGCATTGTTCTACTTTATCCTATTGCATTTTCCTTACCAATAATTATCATAATTAAGAAGAATTTATAATTTTACACGAGTTATAAAAAGAGTTATGCCTTTTAAAAGAAAAAAAATTAATTAAATTAAAATAAAGATAACAGAAATGAGATGCTGTCATTTACATACACATAAAACTCGCATGTAACAAATTGATCTACATTTGATATCCATGTTTGATGACAAAATGTCGCATGTTGTTATAAAGAACAATACCGAAAAGAAGGAACATTACCTCGCGTAATACTTAAATATTTTACGTATCCGAGAGAGGAAATGTATTTTTTCAAGATATACAGCTGAAGCAACCGGCTTGAGCGCTGTCTTTTTTTTTTGCTACTATTTTCCATCTCGCTAATGCGCCGGTAGACGTACGGTCGATTATACATTTGTATTATGTCTCATGCATTTTACGCGTAAATAATTTCCCTGTACGAGAAAGGGTAGAAGAGGGGGATGAGAGATAACTATATATCAAATATTTAATCCTCCTACTACTCGCTTTACGCCATAAATTAGCTGATAGTTGGTCGAATTTTATCCAAGATGATATGCGAATTGGTTTATGCATTTAATCACGTTGAAATGTTTAACGCAAATAATCCAAGATCAAACAACGCGATTATATACACGAGGTACAGACAAATGAATGCTGCTATCCGAACGATAAACTGCTGCTTTCCCGATAGCGAATCTATAACAACGCGAACGCGTATATTCGCTACGATGCGCATCGTAACCGAACCGATGAACTAGGGGTGATCAGTCTATCGAATATCCTTGGGGCACGTTTGTATGAATCTGACATTCGTTTAGTTTCGCCCAACTGTAACTATCTCTCGCGCGGAGAGAGAAGACAAGTGATTCTCTATAATACATAGCAAATGCATTATGCGCTCCATAAACTCGGGTGTGCACTAATGACGCATTAAGTTAACAGCAGGTAATCTGAGCGCGTGTACGAAACGCTTTGCATAATTGTTCATCCATGCTCCTTGGTTTGGAAAATTAACTCTCTCTATATATATCGCGCGACTTTTTTTATCTCGATACGATTAATTCAACAACGAGAGAAACGTCACAAACACTTTCTCAGATATCTGTCAAAATGGCTTTTTTGCGCGCGAAGTAAAAGATGCGTATCCCGCAATAGTCGTATCGATCTTAATAAATCGCGAATCTCCCGTGAAATAATTCACAGACGCAAATAATCGGGAGATAGATAAGGCCGAGCCGTAGAAGATGAAGTCTTCTCTCTTTCGTGAAGGTAAGCGACGATGGATCAGGAATCTTGAGAAGAAGCGAAAAGGAGACTGAACGCGCGCGATTCCTTGCGCAAAATCCCTCGTTTCTCCTTTGTCAGTCTTCACTCGCGCACAATCGGACGACGATTTACTCCGCTGCCTGGTGTGACGTTTCTCCCTCGCTTTTTGTCTTTCTTTCCCTTTCGCTTCTTCTTTATCTTTAGAACTTGTTTGTGAGCACAAGAAATCGCAAAAGAATACGATAAGTCGTATCATTTGTGAAAAATGAGCAAAATAATTTGTCCGTAAAAATTATTCGCGTGATTTTCAACATACTTTTTCACGATTGGTCAAATCTCCTCTTATATATCGACAAAATGAGATCCTAAACCGAAAGCTTGGCGCAGTTCCAATACATTATTGCAACGTTTTACTTCTAACCAAGATACCAGAAGATTGAATCTCTCGGATAGAGAACTTTAATTGTACAAGTATATTGCAAAATGTACTAGAAAATAAATTTTGTCGAATTTAGCGTTGAATAACAATACAAATAATTAAAAACTTGTATGTATCAAAAAAACGATACACCGGCGGAAACGTAACAGAGTTAAGTTAGTCAAACTTCATACTCATGAATATTGATGGAGCATTCCATCGATGAAAAAAATTCTCGCATACGAGAGAGAGATAGAGAAAAAAATGGAGCGTATATTAACGTGTAACGTCTGCATCAATTCAACAAATGCCGATGGCGATATCGTGAGTGTCGAACTGTTTCGGTCGCACGTATTCTTTACATCAGATATGTATAACCATCCGAGCGTGCATTACATTTCGCTATAAGGTTTACCGTTCTAAAAACTCGATAGATCCATTAACGCGTATTAATTTATTTTTCAAGCGTTTATTTCCTGAAATAAATGATACCACATCGAGAGGCGTCCAAGACATATTATCACGCATGCAGCGATAATTATCGCCATTTATGTATGATATATACATTATGTATATTTTATATATATACATATATTATACATACACACCACGATTGTGAGAGAGAGACATATACTGATCTGATGCAACTTTTATAACGTCGCCGATGCGGAGGCACTTTGCGAAATCTGTTCGAATCGCGGGGTCGTTGAATAAATTGCAGCTGAATATAAACATATACGATAATGTGCGGGTATTCCAGGGACTCGATAGACAATCGTTAAATTGGCAATATCACTCTAGGTGTCGCGAAATAATAGAAAAGATGAACGCGGGAAAAACGACGGATAAAACAGGTAGTAGATTGCACCGTTGCACCCTGATATAACGTTCTCGATGTAAATATAATCAACATGGCGAGCAAATATTGCGAGTGACTCTAAATGCGCGTCAAGCTAAATGCAAATATCGCGCAAATTATGCTCGTCCGTTTATACTAAAATCAAATAGAGTAACAAAATAGACAGCATATCTATCTTTCATTACTCGCATATATTTTTCCGCGCGAATCGAGTTCTCATATCTAACATTTAGAGAGTCGTCGAGGAATTAATTTTTAAGAAACTACTATTGATATTCTTTCTCAAACAAAAATATCCGTGCAATTTCTGTCGCGTGATTTTATAACTTATATTTTAAAAGATTGTTTCGTATATTTCACAATGGCTCGTCGTATATAGAGGCAAGTTCGATGCGGTAATACAGGAAAAGATTGTAGGAAGAAAAACTAGTTGCGCGCAGAGTAAACTATCGTGCTTGGGATGCAAACTCGAAAGTGGCGGGTGTCTTTAAATAGTATCATTTATCGTGTTGCAGCTGGAAAGAACTAAAAGTGGAACCTTAAATGATGCCATTTATCGTCTCACAGCTGGAACGCTTACTTTGCCTCGGCATACTTTAAACAATCTACGACTGCACGCCATACGTTAGCACTTTTTTTTCTTTTTTTGGATGAGATAATGAGAAACAGAGCAGTAGGCTTTTCTACACTCGCGTCGCGCTGCTTTCCTTCCTCTAGGAATTAAATAAATATCATAATTTCGACACAGAGTTGTCTCGCTAGCATACGATAAGGGAAACAAGCTTCTCGCGGGAATATGCATATAATATCACGTAAAACTATTTTATGCAATGTTCCAACGAATAATTACGTCCACGTATCGAGAGCACAGCGAAAACGTAAATCAAATTATATCGTTTATCTAAAAAAAGACGTTATAAAAATTGAAATTTAATCTTACACTATAGATTCTTTTCTATTTAAAAATGACATTCCTGGAGAGCACATAATTACTTGTAATAAAAATAGTATTAAAATAACTTCTTTTATTCAAAAAAGAACTATGACATTTTTGCTTTTTGAAATAACTGACCTCATTTAACTTAATGTATTTATAATAATCATATTGCACGGATAACTAGACGGATAATTTCATTGGCGAACCTGAAATTTAGCTCAGGGCAAGTAGACGGGGGAATTGTAGCATTTATTAAGAATGGAGAGAGATAGCCGGATATACGCGGCGGCGACAATAACTTGGCGGAGAGAGCGAGAGAGCGAGATATATCAATGCAAAAGCCTTCTTCTACACTACGTCGGGCCGAGAATAATTCAGTGTCACGTTCCGGGTGGAGGCTACCCGGGAGGAGAGGAAGCTATATCGCGGCTATTTTACATTCTGTATTTCCCGGTTCGTTATTTATGCAAACCACCGGAATATACGATGAGAAAATGTATGTTTATGTAAATTGAGTGCACAAACGTTTACTTATGTTTCAAACGGAATCTTAATCTTTAACTCGTCTCCTTTTCTCTTCTCATCTCTGTCTCTCTCCCTCACTCCTCTCTCTCTCTCTCTCTCGTGTATTGCCCCGGATATCCGCGCTGCGTTTGCGCCGTGCTCGCAGCGTTTGATAACCAAACTGCATTACGGAAGGAATTACACCGAATCGCTACTCCTACCCCATTTTCGATCGATGTCGGCACGGTCACTTGGCGCTAACTGCCACTAAATATCGTTACCTGACGACGTCGAGCGATGCTGCTACGTTCTGGCGTTACGATGAAGGATAATATCCGGCTAGCTATGCAACTATTCGCGCACTCAACTCGCTCCCGCCCGATATATTTACACGATAATGAATTTATTCGATTTTCGTTGCTGGTAGCCTCTCTCGCGCCGTCAGCATTTATATCCATTTCTTACCGAGAGCTTCTTGGCGCATCTTCCGCCACTCCTACGCATAACTCACAATTAGTCTCTTCTAATGACGGCATTTTGCTAAGCGCCTCGCACAATGCGTCTTTATCCAGCTATCGCGCGCGAAAGCTTCGTGATAATGGCCGGTGTAATAACGGATCTCCAGTTTAGTATGTATTTAATGTATACTTTATGTGTACACCGTGTTTCTCTTTTTTCCTCTCTCTCTCTCTCTTTCTTTTGGTCTGAATTCAACGAATATCGTTTTACATTGTTATTATGAAGGGAGCTCTTGAATA